TTTTATTAAAAAAAAAAAAAAAAAAAAAAAAGCGGTAATTTTATTAGTTTAATAATTAGTGAAGGAGAATTGCGTCAAACCTCTGAGACGAATTCCGTACCGCCGCCGGCGCCAGGTAATCTCTGTTCTATTTTCCTTCCGATGGACTGGTTTTGTGAAGAAAAAACATGGTGAAGTTGTTGAACAGGGAAAAGAAGATTCTCAACGATGTTAATTGTGGCCATTGTGGCTCCTATTACCATCTCCATCCTGCTCTTCGTTCTGGGATGTTGCTTCCTGCGCCAGAGAGCTAGGAAGAGACACTCTGCTGTAAAGGAAGATAGCTGTAAGTGTTGTTCTTTAATCCTAGTTGTGGAATTCATCTCTGAAATTTATGAAGCCGTTTCTGGGTATGATTTGTGCAGTTGTTAATGAGATGACCACCATGGAATCTCTGCAATTTGATTTCAAAACAATCGATGCAGCTACTAACAAGTTTTGAAAGGAAAACAAATTGGAAAAAGGCAGATTTGGAGTTGTCTTCAAGGTACCGTTCAGGGTTTCACTTGCTAATTTAGAGAATGATCATGGATTTACAAGTAAATAATACATCTCGATTGGTATGAAGTCTTTTGCGGAAGCCCGAAGCAAAGCCATGAGAACTTATGCCAAAGTGATAGCAGTGAAGAGGCTATCAAGAGGGTCTATGCAAGGTTATGAAGAGTTCAAGAATGAGGTTGTGCTGGTTGCTCAGCTTCAGCTTCAACACACAAATCTTGTAAGGCTATTGGGATTTTGCTTGAAGGGTGAAGAAAAGATACTCATCCATGAATACATTCCCAACAAAAGCCTTGACTTTTTCTCATTTGGTTTGTTCTTCCACTTCACTTTCATATTCCTGTTTGTTTGAGTTCTTTACTCTGTTTTAATTTGATTGTTCATAATCTGTAGATCTTGAGGGACAAACACGGTTGGATTGGTTGAAACGATATATATAACATCATCAATGGAATTGCTCGAGGAATGTTGTACCTGCACGAAGATTCTCGTCTTCGAGTTATTCATCGTAATCTTAAAGCGAGTAACATCTTGTTAGATGAATATATGAACGCGAAAATTTCGAATTTTGGTCTGGGAAGAATAATTCAAGAGGATCAAACTCAAGAAAATACAAATAAAATCGTCGGTACCTAGTAAATTTTTCTTCTTACCTTAAATTTTTCTCTTACTTACCATGATCATTATTGACAATTTTTGTGTTTCAGTGGTTATGTCTCTTGAGTATGCAATGCATGGAGTTTTCTCAATGAAATTTGATGTGTATAGCTTTGGAGTCTTGGTGTTGGAGATTTTAAGTGGTTGAAAGAATAGTAGTTTTTATTTGTCCGATATTGCCGAAAACATTTTGACCTATGTTAATGGTGAGATCTCACATCGATTGAAGCGGAGGACAAAACATTTCTTATAAAAGATGTGGAAATCTCTCCCTAAAAAACGTGTTTTAAAACCGTGAGGCTAATGACAATACGTAACGGGCCAAAGCGGACAATATCTAATAGCATTAGCCTCGAACTATTGCAAATGGTATCAAAGCCAAATATTAAGCGGAGTGTCAGCGAGAACGCTAGGCCCACAAGGGGGGAGGGATTGTGAGATCTCACATCGATTGGAGATGAGAACAAAACATTTCTTACAAACAAATGGAAACCTCTACCTAAAAGACGCGTTTTAAAATCGTGAGACTGTCAATAAAACATAACGGACCAAAACAAGCAATATCTGCTAGCGGTAGGCTTGGACTGTCACTCAACAATATTATCCTATATCAATTTTTTATGCCAAAAAAACCCAATTAAGTATTTTTATTATAATAAAATATAAAATTAAGAATTTTGAAAGATTAAAAGTCAAATTAAAAATCAATTAAAAATTACGAAATATTTGATAAAATTTATCTTTTTTTAATACCAACAAATTTAAGTATAATTCAAATATTAAATTATTTATTCAAAGATGCTAAATTGACTTGAGAGATAAATAAAATTCGACAAAATTAGTCAAGAACGACACGTAGTTTCCTAAAGCATTCAAATCCAATTAAAAATACACATTTATTTTTCATACCTGCCCAATGCTGACCCCACACTGCCCCCACTTCTTTTTCCTTCCAATTTCTGACCGCTTTTCCTAACCCAATTTTCCACGTAATAATATAAATAAATCTTAATCATAATAATAATTCACTATATTAACCAAATGAAAAAGCTTATCCTCTGTTTCCATTTCCGACATTGACTTCACTCTGTTCCAACTTGGAGGTTGACTTCTTATCGGTCTTCTTCCGATTCTTTCGCCAAATTTGTTCTTATAACCTCCACGATTTCTTCCCAAATCGTATGCAACCTCAATTGCTTCTTCACGATGCTCAATTTTCTTACTTTCCTCTTCCTCCTCTGTTTCCTTATCCATGGAAACGCTCAGACCCGTGTTTCTTACCCATATCGGAGTTGCTTGCCGGGAAATTTCACTCAGAACAGCACCTATCACTCCAATCTCGATCTCCTCTTTTCAAATCTCTCCGCCAACGGCCCACCAAAGAACAGATTCTTCAATACCTCCGCCGGCCGACCCCCAAACGATGCCGTTTACGGCCTCTTCCAGTGCCGTGGAGACGTCTCCGACTCCGTCTGCCGATCTTTCTTAGCCACCGCTATCAAGGACGTAGCCCAGGAATACTGTCCCCTGAGGAAAGGCGCTGTGGCTTGGTACGATGAATGCATATTCCGCTACTCCGACCAACGTTTCTTTTCCGACGTTTCCACAGAGCCAAGTTTGCCGTTACTGAATACGGCTGAAATAGACGTCGACAAGGCTCGATTCAACCAACTAGTCATGTCCATGTTGAGAGCCACCGCGGCTCGAGCTGCTAATGCCTCGGTGGGCGAATTGTTTGCAACCCAGGAGGCTAATTTCACATCAGATCTACCCCTTTACACTCTAGCACAGTGTACCGGCGATTTGTCCAATACCGATTGCGAACTATGCTTACGCCAAGCTATCAATGGTATTCCGAGTTGTTGCAGTAATAAACGAGGTGGGAGAGTTCTGTTTCCCAGCTGTTATGTTCGCTACGAAGTTTACATGTTTTACGAACAAACGCCGACGAATTCAGTGCCGCCACCGGCGACTACCCCGCCCAATAACACCACCCCAACACCGCCTCTTCCTCCTCCTCCTACACCAGGTAATCTCTGTTCTATTTTCCTTCCGATGGAGTCGTTTTGTGAAGAAAAAACATGATGAATTTGTTGAACAGGGAAGAGAAGAATCTCAACGATGTTAATTGTGGCCATTGTGGCTCCTATTACCATTTCCATCCTTCTCTTTGTTCTGGGATGTTGCTTCCTGCGCCAGAGAGTTAGGAAGAGACACTCTGCTGTAAAGGAAGATAGTGGTAAGTGTTGTTCTTTAATCCTAGTTGTGGAATTCATCTCTGAAATTATATGAAGCCATTTCTGGGTATGATTTGTGCAGTTGTTAATGAGATGACCACCATGGAATCTCTGCAATTTGATTTCAAAACAATCGATGCAGCTACCAACAAGTTTTCAGAGGAAAACAAATTGGGAGAAGGCGGATTTGGAGTTGTCTTCAAGGTACCAACCACTTACTTAAACCTACCAAATTTCGTTTAATACGGCCAATTTAGGAATGATCATGGGTTTATAAGTATATACATATACATTGGTATGAGGCTTTTTGGTGAAGCCTAAACCAAAACCACGAGAAATTATGCTCAAAGTGGACAATATCATACCACGGTGGAGATCTATGATTCTTAACATGGTATTAGAGATATCCCCTTAATTAGTTATGTAAATAGAATCCTTAAGTGTCGAATAAAGGGTGTACTGTGTTCGAGGACTCCAGAGAAGGAGTTGAGCTTCGGTTAAGGGGAGGAGGCTGTTCGAGGGCTTCGTAGACCTTAAGGGAGATTCTTTAGTGTAGTTTGTTCAAGGGGAGGAGACTGTTCGAGAGCTCCATAGACCTTAAGAGAGATTCTATAGTGTAGTTTGTTCAAGGGGAGGAGGTTGTTTGAGGGCTCCATAGACCTTAAGGGAGGCTCTATAGTGTACTTTGTCCAAGGGGAGGATCGTTGGGAGGGATTCTCACATTCGGCTAATTTAGGGAATGACCATGATCTCCGTTGATAAGAGTGGACAAAATATCATACTACTACGAAGATCTGTGATTCCTAACCGTAGTTACTTAGATATATGTTATAATTTCAGGGGAGGCTTGAAAATGGAGAAGAAATAGCAGTGAAAAGGCTATCAAGAGGGTCTCTGCAAGGTTCTGAAGAGTTCAAGAATGAGGTTATGTTGGTTGCTCAGCTTCAGCACAGAAATCTTGTAAGGCTATTGGGATTTTGCTTGGAGGGTGAAGAAAAGATACTCATCTATGAATACATTCCCAACAAAAGCCTCGACTTTTTCTTATTTGGTTTGTTCTTCAACTTCATTTTCATATTCCACTTTGTTTCATTTCTTTACTCGATTGTTCATAATCTGTAGATCTTGAGGGACAAACACAGTTGGATTGGTTGAAACGATATAAGATCATCAATGGAATTGCTCGAGGAATGTTGTACCTGCATGAAGATTCTCGTCTCCGAATTATCCACCGTGATCTTAAAGCGAGTAACATCTTGTTAGATGAATATATGAACGCGAAAATTTCGGATTTTGGTATGGCAAGAATTATTCAAGTGGATGAAAGTCAAGTAAATACAAAAAGAATCGTCGGTACCTAGTAAGTTTTTCTTCTTACCTTAAATCTTCCTCTTACTTAGAACAATCATTATTGACAATTTTTGTGTTTCAGTGGTTATATGTCTCCTGAGTATGCAATGCACGGAATTTTCTCCATGAAATCTGATGTGTATAGCTTTGGAGTCTTGGTGTTGGAGATTTTAAGTGGTCAGAAGAACAGTAGTTTTTATTTGTCGGATCTTGCCGAAGACCTTTTGACCTACGTAAGTCGACGTTGAATTAACGTAGCAAATAATGCATTACAAAACCGAACTCTCAAACCCCTTATTGTTTATTGTTTTTGTTCTTATGTTAGGCTTGGAAATTGTGGAAGACCGAACAACCATTAGAAATATTGGACCCAGTTCTGAGAAATAGCTACTCGAGAAATGAGGTGCTTAGGTGCATTCATATTGCTTTATTGTGTGTTCAAGAGGATTCTAGCCAAAGACCTTCCATGGCGTCCATTGTTCTCATGCTTAATAGCAATTCAGTCACTTTGCCATTGCCGGAAGAGCCAGCGTTCTTCATGCGTAGTAAGAACACTGATATTAAAGACAGTGATATTTCTACCGATCGATTTGTCCAATGGTCTGTCAACGACGCATCCATTTCAGAGTTGCATCCACGATAAAATGTCTCATCTTTTTTTTAGTACAACAAATTCGAATATAAAAATTTAAATTTTCCAACCCATGTAATTATAACAACCCATGTCTAAGTAAATATTGTCACTCTAGTCCGTTACATATCGCTATCAATCTCATGATTTTAAAACACGTATGTTAGGGAGAGGCTTTCATACACTTATAAGGAATGTTTCGCTTCCTTCTCCAACCGATGTGGGATCTCACAGTCCATATAACGGTATAGAAACTTCTCTCTAGTAGACACGTTTTAAAATCGTGAGACTGACGACGATACAGAACCAATCAAAATTGACAATATTTATTAGTGGTGGGCTTGAACTGTTATAATAGTATATATCAATTACCATTGAATTATATTCACTTTAGTCTAATGTATATTAATTTTTATTGCTTTCATATTTTCTCAATTTAAATCTTTAATTTTTTTTAGCTTAATCTTTTCAAATTATAATATTTAGAGGATAAGATTATAAGATTTAAAAATGAGTATAAAAATATTGTCACATAAGGAAAAAAAAAACCCTAAACATTAGGGGATGTTAATGTGAAAAGGAGAAGTTAAAAGGACATAAGCTCAATTTTTCCGCATTTATGGTTTAATTATCGTTTTTTAATTACTTTTCTTTGTTTATTAAAAAGACGTGGAAAATCAAGGTTTGAATTTATGATTTTTTTTTTTTTTTTTTTTTTTTTTTTT